CTTGTATTCGAAGACTATCATTTCTCTTACTTCTTGGAACTGTGATCAGTCGGGTCAGATTATTAGCGACAAACACGTAACCTAATCGTGCTTGGTTATTTCAATTGAATAATCTATATTAATTATGAGATTAGTTTTTTCTCTTTGTACCGTGCCCTGTTTTGTTCAAACAAATTTATCAGTATAGCGAGGCTACTCGTTCGTTCCTTGCACACAATATACATCTTAGCTGTACCAAAATTTTATATAATTAGAAACGTAATAAATTTTTCGCTTGTTGTATTACCAGACATAATAATTAATTTTATGAAAAGAATTTTAAGAATAGATAATTTTCATAAACCACTGAACAATTTCAAGAACAAAATTTTACTAATATTTCCACAAATTTTACTGTTTTTTAATATTTTTTGTTACAGCGGCATCACAAATATATATTCTGTGAAAATTTCAACTGTCTATCACGGTTCATGGAATACAGCCTGGTGACAGACGGACAGATGACTAAGACTCCACTGTCTTATGGGTACGGAACTCTAAAAATATGCCGAGTAGAAAGGAACACTATATTCTAGGGTGCCTTACCCGACGGAGTTTGGAGTTGCTCTTCATGCAGTTGCCATGATTGGGGCATGATTAAGTGAAAGTGTTCTCGTGAAGATACCGATATGCACTCTAGGTGGAACATCTTGAGGCTTTTTATCTCCCATGCATTAATATCCTCGAGGTGACGAGAGATTTAGCATCTAGCTGTGACTAGGTACTCGGAAATAAAACGATACATCACGTTTCAATATTTTAATGAAACCGATAGTCATATTGATTTTATTTAAACTATTTATAAATCTACAACTTAGATAATCGACTACATAACATTAAAAAAAATGTTGCGTAAAATATATTTAAATTCGGTAAAATATAATATCTGACGGAATTTATTATTCATCCACTAGTATGTTCATTTCCATAAAAATGTACAGATTCTGATATTTTTAAGGTTGTTATGATTATTTTTAAAGAAATGTTTTATGAAGCAATTAATATTCTACGGTGTGAAAAGATAATGCCTCTAATTACCGTCCTATCTCTATGTTGCCGGCCTTAAGCAAAGTGTTTGAGAAAATAATGCTGGATCAAATGATAGTTCATTTTAACAAATATAAAATTTTAAACCACCACCAATTTGGATTTACTAAAAGTAGATCTACAACTGATGCAGGGATAGAATTAGTTTCACATATCCTGCAGTCCTGGGAAAGCTTTCATGACACCATTGGTGTGTTCTGTGACCTTTCCAAGGCATTTGACTGTGTAGATCATACAATTCAAATCAGGAAATTGGAATATTATGGTATTCGAAATAGTGCCATTGACTTTGATCCTCATATCCTCATATCTTACTGACAGGGAACAAAAAGTAATCATAAATGGTATATTGTCAATGGGGTCAAAAGTAAAAATGGGCGTTCCTCAAGGATCGATCCTGGGCCCTTTTCTGTTTTTAGTTTATATTAATGATTTACCATATATAGTGGAAAAAAGGTCTCAAATTGTTTTGTTTGCGGATGACACTTCATTATTGTTTAAAGTTAAAAGGAAAGATAATGCACTGGAACAACCAAATGAAATACTGTGTAATATGTTGTGTCTGGCTGGTTTGCTACCAATAACTTACTTTTGAACTCCAATAAAACAAAATGTATTAGATTTACTCTTTCAAAGTTGTGTCACCAATCAGGAATCTCTATTGATGAGAAAATCCTACCCCTTGAGGATTCAACAGCATTTCTTGGAATAAGCGTTGACTCCAAGTTGCAATGGGGATTTCATGTAGATAAGCTAAGAAATTGACCGCTGCCGTCTTTGCCATACGCAAAATCAGGCAGCTAACTAACGAGGAAACAGCTAAATTAGTTTATTATGCTTATTTTCACAGCATAATGTCCTATGGTGTCTTACTTTGGGGTTCCGCATCCGGTTTAGACACGATATTTGTATTACAAAAGCAGGTTATACGGGCCGTCTATGGCTTGGGTCCACGTGAGTCACTACGGCATATATTTAAGCAAATAAACGTTTTGACGCTCCCGTCGCTTTACATACTTGAGAACATCATGTATGTACGTAAGAATATCCACCTATTTACGAAAAAACAATCCACATCGCGTCGGGGCCGTGGTGACACTCTGGAAGTACCGAGGTTTAGATTGGCTAAAACCAGAAAGTCGTTTCTTGGAAGATGCATCAACTTTTATAATAAAATAGGTGACATCCACAAACAACTAAGTATAAACAATTTTAAACAATTTGTAAAAGCTACCTTAATGGCAAGGGCATACTATAATATCCAAGAATACATTGAGGACAAGGATGTTTGGAAATGACTCTTGCTCTGCACTTGCAAGACCCCTGGCTGCTGCTGATTTTATACCTAAATAAGTGTGTATAATTGCATCAAAAAAAAATATATAACAAAAAGAACAAGACCGCAGCGTTTCTTGCCGGTTCTTCTCTGTACAGGTCTAGTTTAGTGAACCGGTGGTAGATTTTTTGTTGACGTTCAATAAGAGCTTAAGTTAGGCCTATATTGAATAAATATACTTTGACTTTGACTTTGACTTTAAGTGTATTTAAAGCAATGAGAAAAAACGGGACGGCAAATATATGGCACTTTAACGTAAGAGTGAACAAATCTCACCCAGGGAACCAAACGTACCACGTTTGACATACGCTTATAACAGAAGATAAAGGCCGAACTCATTGAATAACAACCGCTTTGAATAGTTTGTCAAGTTATTTTGATGGTAAATTCATTTCAATAAATTAAAGATTTTTACAGGAAAACTTTAATTCGCAGCAAAAGATTGCAGTGCAACATGTTTGTAGTTGTTAGATATATATAGCATCCGATGACTCCGTGACGCAGTCGCCAAGGTATCGGTTTCGGCGTTCGGGGTCGTGGGTTCGATCCCCACACGGGACAACTGTTTGTTTGACCCACAGATAGATGTTCCGCATCTGGGTGTTTGTCCGCGTGAAATTTATGTTTGTGAAAACGTCCTTACAATACAGGATAATGTTATCCCAAAGTAAGGGTAATTTAAAAAAAATAGTAATTCTGACCATTTCTCACAATTTCATACCAAAAACTTAAATTTATTAAACGGAATATAAACAACGTCGTCGATAACCGACATTTGAGACACTTATGTTGGCAACATTGAATTTGAGGTGCCACCTGTGGACGACAGCAAAGAAACTGACACCAATGAAGGCAGTTTAATATTGCTGAGGTTCCTGAAGTGGGAGTACTGTAACGGCACTAACGGAGCGGTCACTTGAGCGTTTGGATTTTGGATAGTTCACAATTTTCATACGTGCCGTCATTGATTGTTAACCATTTGGCTGTCTTGAATTTAACACTTATAACGTTTATAATTTAACACTTAAAATGTTCCATTATATGTTCGACGAAATATCAACGACGTTTGTATGTGTTTAAAAATTGTTAACGGATCTATTAACGCACCTGACCTGTTATCTGAAATCCTGTTGAATGTTCCATTACCAAACAAAAGAAAACACAAAATTTTCCTCACTGCAAAATATAATAAAAATTATAGACGTAACTATTTTATGATAAGGGCAGCTAAATTTATGAATAAGCAAATGGATATTGACCCATTTCATACCTCACCAGCGGTTGCCAAAGCACTTCTTACTGAGGATTACTTTGTTAGATAAAAAATAATAAAAAAAAATTAGAACAAAAACACTTGGTCTTTTTATTCCTTGTATTTTTATTTTCTATAATACCTATAAATTAAGATTACTAAATGTGAAGACTTGTAAATGGCTTCTTAAGTACTTTAAATAACTTAATTATATCTGTTAATAGCTGTAAGTTTTCCAATAAAATAGAATAAAATGGATTTAATAAAAAAATCTTATAATTTAACTTAGCCCAAAATTCATATATACTTTTGCATTGATTTGAATTCTAGCTGTCTATCACTTATAAAATAACCTATATATTATTTTTTTACGTTAACATTTAACTTTGCGTTTTTTGTAACGCGTATCATTTCCGAATAAATGAAACAACAACTGTGGCAACCATATTTATTCATAAAAAATCACTGATTATTAAACAGTTTCATTAAATTATCTCTCCAAGACTAAGAAAATTTCAAAGTTCAAATAACGACCAAATAAAAAGTAAACAAGGATATGTTTCCAATAGCTTGTTAAAGAGTTAGAGTAACATTAAATTGATTTATATAGCGATTCCTATCTTGTATGCACAATTATATTAGGCACAAAAATTATTAATAAACTACTAAAACGTAACAACAATAACATTAATTAAACTGTTTTAATTAGTCAAGAATCAAATGAAAGATAACAGGGTAACTTTAAGAATCTTAAAAATTAAATGGAAGGTATTTATTCAATAGTGATAAACTGATAAAATTTCACAACCTTTTAAATCAAACTTAATTAATTTTTTTTGTTAACACAAACATCATTGTTCAACAAAATCATTCCAACTCACCCACCCGCTTAAATAACGCTCCATAAAATCAATAATTATTAGTTACAATTACCTAAAGTACAGTATCATTTTGAAATATTATTAAATTTATTTACAATTTAATGTACAAACAAACCGTAACACACTTCAAAATTTCTTTCATCCTAACTATCAATTTAATTAAAACTCAGCGAGAGGGTTCGGTATTCCCAGGCCGTATGGGGATCTATCGAGAATAACTATCAATCGATTTCTAATCCCGGCAACGCGTTAAAAAGAATTCCAACATACAGAAGTGTAATAACAAAAACAATCCCCTACCGGCCTGTTTACGTTAACACTGAAACGCGGAAATGCACCGAAACCACTAAGTCCTCACCCGATGCCTCCCTAACAACTTGAGCTCTTTCACCGAAAGTCCGTTTCTTATTTACACGACCATGTTCTATAGTTGGGTTGTCTGTCAGAGCGGTGTGTCCCGCGGGGTGTGGCGTGGAGCCGGGGCGGGGGCGGGCAGCGGGCGAGGGAGCGTGCGCAGATGCTGCAGAGGGATGCCCGCTCCGCTTGTGCACGCGCCCGCCCCGCGCGGCAGCGTACACGCACCGCTAGCGAACCGCGCTGGCGGCGGAATGCTCGACGGTGCAGTCTTGGAATAGCAGAATGCGTTAGTAAGCTTAAATATGTTTCTACTTTTATAAAACAAGGAAATAAGATAAAAAAAATATAAATTATACCAAGTAAAGTAATATAAATTAGTATACAAGAATATCTTTTAGGGTATGTGAATTTTACACAGTCATAATGACCCGTTATCATTTTGTAAGAGCCATTTTCAATAATGGGTATCGTGAACACTTTCCTAAATTATCTTTACTCAGTCGCTTGGGCCTAACATCCATAATACATATATTATTATATGTTTACGTTGTAAGTACGGTAAATGGTTGATATGAAAAATTAATATCACCGTCATGTTAATGCTTATAGTTCTGGCAAAATCTTGTTTCTTTTTTACTATATTTCTTATGAAATTAAATGAAATTAAATTTTTATTAATTATTTTTATCATAGTGACATAATTTTTTTTTTATTCCCACACGGACGGAGCTGCCCATTCGCGCAACAGCCGTAGCTATTGCGTGTCCCTACCACTGTTACAATACAAGACAATAAGTAAATAGTTTAGTACCATACTAAAGTTAATTTATATAGTTTTTTATTGTTAAATGCCACATTAATTTCATATATAATACGTGCCAAACATTAAAATTTTCATGAGCTAAACAATTTTATGGACTTTTTACTTTCGTTTTAAATTTAAATTTTATTGATACACGTGACATAAAATCACAAATAATCTTTACACACAGCGCTGTGATAATTGTGATGTGATAATTATTCATATTGATCAAATCGCTCGGGCAAACGTTTATTCTAATCTAGAGACAGTTACTAATTTTCATTCAGAATTTGCTAATCCTCACAATCAATAACAGCCTTCTCTCAACGTTTTCTTGATTTAGTTTCTCATTATAATCCTAAATTTGAGCGGATTAATTAAATATTGTTTCAGTTAATTTTGGCAATTCCACTGGAGTTTGCTCATTTTGATTTATTGACTAAATTTAGACAATTTTGGTAATTATTAAATTGCTGATTTCGAAAGTATTTGGTACTAGCTGCTGCCCGCGACTACATCTGCGTAGAATAGGCTGATGGCGTAACATTCAGAACACAAAGACAGATATACATAAAATATGTATATAAATTATAGCCTGATGTATAAGCTATATTATTGTAAATTTTTATTAAAATACATTTAGTAGTATTTGCGTGAAAGAGTAACAAACATCCATCCACACACACAAACTTTCGCCTTTATAATATTAGTAAGGATATTGTCGTTCAAACCAACAGTTCAACAACTTAGCAGTTTTTGGCAGAAAATGAAGAGAAAAACGCACAGTGGTGCACCATCAGCCATCAAGTCAGGCGATATACAGTGTATGCTATAACATTCGCCAACCAAACTCTCAAATTTTGGTAAGTGGTCAAAGGTGTGTGGTCTGGTGTTATCATTATGAAAGACCCAACTCTTTCTGTTTATTAATTCCGGCCGCTGCTTTTTCTCAATTTCTTGCTTGAATATCATCAGATGTTGGCAGTAGAGATCCAAAATAATGGTTTTGCTAGGAATTAAAATTGAACGATGCTCTTAGAATCCCACCATTCATACATCATCACCTTTTTGCGTGTTACTCCGGGCTTCACTACAGTTTATGGAGCATGACTGTCCCTATGAGCATAATTTTTTTTGTCATATGTGTTTTTGTATCTTGTCATATGTGATCCACTTCTCATTACCAATGATCAACATCTTCAAAACTGGATCGTTTTTTTTACGTTTGACTAGAGAATCGCAAAGGAGTCATTATTTAGATTTCTTTCAGTGAGTTGGATTCATCTACTTCCCAAATATTCGAACTCTTTTGTAAATGCAGATTTTTGATAACTGTTTTATGATTAATCCCCATTTCTTCAACTATGTTGTAACTACTATTATGTCAATCTTACTACAATTTTTGTTTACAAGTCCAATATACATTTCACCAGTTACATATAAAACAAACGATTACTAATTTTCTTCTTGTATCTTAGGAGAAGTTTATAATTAGAACCCATGAATCCTTACATATATTCATATATTTTCAAGTACTATTAAGAACGTACTTTATTAAGAAATTATATTATTCCTCCTTTTAAAACATAAATTGGTCATTCGTATTTCTAAAACTTTAAAAGAATCATAAAATTTACTTCTTCACTATTTGACTTAAAAATTTTAATCAACTTTTTTCTGTGCAATTAAAAATTTTCTAAGTACTTCGCATTATTGTGTGTCGTTATACTTACTTCAAGAATAATACAATCAATAATGAGATAGTCATTTAACTTTTACTAACCGAGGTATCGTGCGAAGGTGGTGGATGTAATGACGGTGGTATAGAACGAAGCGGACAATATCCGGGTATACTTCCTCGCACCCCGGCCACGCTTCCCCGGGGCGCCTTGTTTCCGGGAGGTGGCGAAATTGTCGAGACTTGCTGTTGGCGGAAGTAGTCAATCTGTGATAAAAAACAGAAAGCATTAGATCGAACAGTTTTCTGTACTATTTGGAAACCGCTCTTAGTAAAGAAAATTCTCTTCTGTACAGGGATGACACAGTCTACCATGCGGCACCACTGCAGATTTGCCTCCACAGTTCTTATTTTATTTTCAATTAAAGGTTTTTTACAAATAAAACAATCACTCATGATGGAATAATAGAAAAAGCAAGCTTAAATAGACTAAATGCTAATAAAAAAAATAGTTTTCACTGAAGTTCAATCGTGAAAGAAGAAAGTTAAAATCGTGTCTAAAAATCATTCATCGTCTTCACAATTAAAAAGAGAATAAAATACATCCGCACGTAGAGAAATATGTAGCAAAGATATAAGTTGAACGACAACTTCAACACAATATTATCAGCTATTCTTACAATATGGAGTTAATACTGTTGAGATTCACGTACGGTAGAATAAGACTATTATACCGGCATGTTATATTGTAAACTTATATTTTTGAAAAAGAGCAACTGTTGAGATTTTTGCCGGTCTCTTCTCAACAGAAACTGCTTTCCGAACCGGTGGTACCTTACGAAAATATATGCATAATTTTTTATGTAAAATTTGACGATTCATAAGAACGCGCAAGCGTGTATTTGAATAAAGATATTGATTGATTGATTGAATAAGAGAAGTTAGAAATAATCATAATAATAATAGCAGGCAGATGTTCTTTTGTTCCCTAATGGTCACATGGGTATTTTCTACCTGAACAGTATTCTTGATAAGGGCCATCAGATTTAAAATTATTTAAAAATCAATAATTGTAAAAAGTTACTCGGCCAAAGTTACAAAGAATTTAATTTGCAACAAAAAATGTTCACAATTTTTTTATGAGATAAATAGTTTAGATAAATCGTAAAAACCATTTCAACCCCAATTTTCAAGATGGCGGCCGTGGGATAAGGATGGCGACCCCGCAAACTCGGTTTTAGCTTTACACTGACCCCCCCTCCCCCCTACACATAAAATAAAATAAAATTGCGTCGTCTAAAAACGCCAGATGGATCTGCCCACTCGTGCAACAACGAAGACTGCTCTGTAGCCCGTACCACGTACAAGTGGCAAGTCGCGCTAAATCTCAAGTTTTTTGACCCAATTGGCGTAGTCGGTAGTGAACCCTCTTGCGCCAGAGGAGGTGGGTTTAATGCACACCACTGAAAAAGTCTTGTGTGATGAACATAAGGTTTTTTCCAGTGTCTGGGTGTTTATATATGTAAAGCATGCTAAACTACGTTTATCAGTTATCTAGTACCCATAGCACAAGCGTTTCTTACTTTGGGACTAGAGGACGTTGTGTAAAAATTTGTCCTAAAATTTTATTATGAATAAATTAATATTTATCGTAAAGTTCTCATCGTCTTTAACGCACCTGCATCTGGTCCGTATCTGATGGGATTATGTCGGGATTTCTGTCATCGCTCTCACTGTCATCCTTCTCTCTTAATTTGTCCGGTGACGCTGGCTGAGAAGATGGTGGCGGTGCCGACCTGGGCTTCCTCTTTGCGCACCTCTGGCGTACGGCCACCATAAATAGCACCAGAACAATCATCAAGATCCCACCGCCCCCTACCGCCGCTGACATTGCTCCTGATATTTGAAAGGCAGTTCTGGGCAGATCTATGGAGAAAAAATAAATAAATTGTAGGTTACAGGGTTATTTTCTGTTGCCTTCCATGCCTTCCAGTTCCAATCTATATATTTCGATCAGCTAGAAAGTTGACATATCCTCCCAATCCTTACATATTAAAACTTAAGGTGATAAAACTGGAGGAAAGTAACAAGTAATTGACATAACTACTAACTTTCTTCTTCTGGACAAGGTTAAGTATCATACACTTTTTTGTTTGAGAAAGTAACAACCGAGCTGGCGGTCCACCAGATGTTAAGTGATAACCGCCGTACATAAACATTTGCAATACCCCTTAGGTTTGAAGATCCGTTGCTACCTTTTAATAAAGCGGGCCCCGGCTACTTTACTCACCAGACGCGACGCAGAAGTATAGAACTACTTCTTCACGCCGGTCTTAGTGAGGTCGTGGTACTTCCCAGGATGGATCTGCTCATTTGTGTAACAGTAACCTACCACAGTTATACACACCACGCTACTCACCAAGGCTCTTGTCATGCACGTGATGCTTTTCCGGAGGTCTTAATGTGCTCGCTCTCAGAGGATAAGGATCGCCGCGACCCTTAGCGTTGTATGCCAAAACTGCAGCAGCGTATGTCTTCCCCGGCTCTAAGCCGACAGCGGTGAAACGGGGAACCGCACTTGAGACGTTCGCTATAATGTCCTAAGAAAAGTTACGAACAAAATAAATGATAAATCAGAAGATTTCTGTTGCTTTAACCTAGCCTAACAGAGATAGATACACGTAAGTAATCCTATACACATTTCATTAAGTGTACATAAGTGCCTATACGCCATAAATTTCTTAATTCTTTATCAAATTTGGTGATTCATACGCCATTTTATGGCATATATTTCACATTGTACGTTTCTAAAATTTCCCAATTAATAATTATTGATATTGTCAATAACTTGAGGAGACCATATATGGAAATTTCCTACGCCGCGCGCGCGGTCAACAAAGGGCGCGGCGTAGGAAAGAGAGGACATACTCGAAGCAGCGAGAAGGCAAGCGCCGGCGCCGGCCGGCGGCCAACAGTGCCATCACGTCCGCGACGGCGAATGCATGTCTCAGCTTCCTTACGATATAGTTACGCGAGTGCTTATACACAGCTTATTGTTTTTATGTTTTTATCGCCTTTCCTTTGTTTCTTGCCTCTATTCTAACTTTCTATTTCTCTTGTGCTCACGTCTGTACTTCGCTTGTGCTCTGTTTGAACTTTAAATACATAGTGTGGACTTATTTACGTAGTTGTTATTTGCCACGCCCGCTTACCACACTATACTGGTGACCCCGACGTTGGACAATATCGACTGTTATTTACGAGTGAACAACGCAAAACACAATGGAAGCAAATAGATCCGGTAAAGTAATAAGCGGCAGACCTACAGGCATCGAAACCGACAACATCGATAACGGTTCAGTGTTTAAAGTTTCTGTACGCGCGCCGCCATTTTGGCCAGAGGAACCCGCCTTATGGTTCTCGCAAATGGAGGCACAATTTTCCTTGTCTGGAATCACGAGTGACTCAACAAAGTTTAATTATGTAATTGGGCAATTGGAACATCAATATGCTGTGATAGTAAAAGAAATTATTAATAATCCTCCAGCGGAAAATAAATATTTAGAACTGAAAAACGAGCTTATAGTGAGATTGTCAGCTTCGCAAGAAAAAAAGCTGTTGCAACTGCTGAAACACGAGGAACTAGGTGAGAGGAAACCATCACAATTTTTGCGACATTTGAGGACGCTAGCCGGTAAAACTGTGACGGAAGAATTTCTGAAAACAGTGTGGACCAGCCGGTTACCTACCAGTTTACAGACCGTTATCGCGTCGCAACCTAGTGCCACGTTGAATGAGTTGGCCGACCTAGCGGACAAGGTACATGACATAGTACCACAGGCACCTCAGGTTTGTGCGTTAGGTTGTAGAAGCTACATTACGGAGATGGCAAAGCAAATGGCAGAATTAACACGAGAAATAGCTTCACTAAAAGTCCAGTACCACGCGCAGCCATCAAGATCACACAGCAGAGACGGTGGTAGTCGTAGAAGAAGCAGAACACCCTTCCGTCGTCGAGATCGATCGTCATCCAAGCCGAGGGATACAACAATATGCTGGTATCACAACAGATTTGGTGACAAAGCAAGCCGCTGCACCAGGCCTTGCAGCCACCCTAAGGCGGAAAACTTCAACGGCAGCCGGAACTAGCGGCCTACGACTGCCAATCAAAACCGGGCCGCCTCTTCGTAGTGGACAACACTTCTAAGGTACTTTTCCTAGTTGACACAGGATCAGATTTGTGCGTGTATCCGCGCACAGCGCTTAGAGGGCACCGTACGAAGACTAATTATGAATTGTTTGCAGCAAATGGGACAATTATAAACACTTACGGCTCGGTTCGCTTGGAGCTTAATCTGGGTTTACGCCGAGCGTTCACCTGGAACTTCGTGGTTGCTGACGTGGCAAGAGCGATCATAGGCGTTGACTTTCTATCACACTATAATATACTAGTTGATTGCAGAAACCAGCGCCTGATTGACAACCACACCTCGCTCACCGTTAATGTGCCAGCCCAACCTGGTATAGAGGCTATATCTTCGGTGAAGGTGACAATTGGGGACTCCAGGTATTTAGAAATATTACGCAACTACCCACATATCACTCGCCCTTCAGGCACACCTACGGAAGTCAAGCATAATACTATGCACCATATCCGCACCACGCCTGGACCGCCCGTATCTAGTAGACCTCGACGCCTGCCACCAGATCGTCTCAAGATCGCACAGAAGGAGTTTGAGGCTATGCTGCGGAACGGCACAGCATCCAGGTCCGAGAGCTCATGGTCGTCTCCGCTTCATTTAGTTCCTAAAAAGGATGACGGCTGGCGACCATGCGGTGATTACCGCGCTTTAAACGCCCGTACTATCCCAGATAAATACCCTATTCGGCATATACAGGACTTTGCTCAACAATTATCTGGGAGTAAAGTTTTCTCCAAAGTGGATCTGGTCAAAGCATATAACCAGATTCCGGTCCACTCAGCTGATATACCCAAGACAGCTATTATAACACCGTTCGGACTGTTTCAGTTCCCATACATGATGTATGGACTCCGGAACGCGGCACAGACGTTCCAGCGCTTTATAGACGAAGCACTCAGAGGCATGGACAACTGTTACGGCTACCTGGACGACATCCTGATCTTTTCCGCAACTGAAGAAGAACACCAGCAACATGTCTGTGAGTTATTCCAACGATTAACAGACTACGGAATACTAATCAACGCCGCTAAATGTGAATTCGGAGTATCGACCATCACTTTCCTTGGGCATGAAGTATCATCTGAAGGCATTCGACCATTACCGTCAAAGGTGCAGGCCATTTTGGAATATCCCATCCCCAAGACAGTGAAGGAGCTCCGAAGGTTTCTGGGGATGTTCAACTTTTACCGCAGATTCGTACCAGGTGCATCAGCTCTACAATCACCGCTGAACCTAGTACTTAGCGGACCTAAGAAGAAGGCCTCACAGGAGATTGACATGACGAAGGAGATGTCGGAAGCATTTGAAGCATGCAAGGAAGGTTTGTCCCACGCAGCCAATCTAGCACATCCGAATCCTGATGCTGAACTTGCCATCCACACCGACGCATCAGACGTTTCAATTGGTGCAGTACTACAGCAGCGTGTAAATCGTGGATCCTGGGAACCCCTGGCATTCTTCTCCCGGCGGCTTAAGCCAGCGCAAAAGAAATACAGCCCTTATGACAGAGAGCTATTAGCCATATACGAGGCTATACGGCATTTCCGCCACATGGTCGAAGCCAGGGCATTTATCATATATACAGACCACAAACCTCTAACGTACGCATTCCACTCCGCAAGAGAAAAATGTTCCCCGAGACAGTTTCGTTACTTGGATTTTATATCACAATTTAGCACCGACATACAGTACATAGCGGGAAAAGACAATGTCGTAGCGGACGCGCTATCCAGAGTGGAGGAGATTCGCAAGCCCATAGATTACGAAGCTTTGGCACAATCTCAGAAAATGGATCTTGAAATGAATGACCTGATGCAGCACGGATCTGGACTCAATTTAAAGAGGATCCAACTACCTGATGTCAACTCTTTTATATATTGCGACATATCAACAGCAAACGCAAGGCCATATGTGACTGATGCTTTTCGAAAACTAGTTTTCAACGCAATCCACGGACTGAGCCATCCCGGTGCCAAGGCGACAACTAAAATGGTGACGCAAAGATTCGTTTGGCCAGGAATCAAAAGAGATTGCCGTCAGTGGGCAAAAGAATGCGCAGATTGCCAAAGAAACAAAATTTCACGCCATACCACATCACCCATATCTCCATTTCCCACTCCTTCCTCAAGATTTTCCCATGTCCATATGGACATAGTAGGGCCATTACCATATTCTTTTGGTTACAGGTACTGCCTCACGGTCATCGATCGTTTCACACGTTGGCCTGAGGCATATCCACTGCCGGACATCACTGCAGAGTCCTGCGCACGAGCATTTGTTGGGGGTTGGGTAGCCCGCTTTGGCTGCCCGAACAAGATCACCACTGACAGGGGCGCACAGTTCACGTCCGAGCTGTTCCGCGCCGTGTCAGCAATCATCGGCTCCGAGCACCGTCCGACTACGTCGTACCACCCAGCATGTAATGGGATGGTCGAGCGGCTTCACCGGCAATTGAAGGCAGCAATTATGTGCCATACCAACACTCACTGGACTGAAGTCCTACCCTTAGTGCTGCTGGGCATCCGCAGCGCCTGGAAGGACGACGTGCAATGTTCAGCGGCAGAACTGGTTTATGGGGAGCCACTACGCCTGCCTGGTGAGTTCTTTGAGCCTACGAAGGACACTACCGTCGACTACGCAGACTTCGCAGCCAGACTACGGGACCACATATCGAAGTTGACTCCTGTACCAGGTACTCGACACGCTCAAAAGCCTTTCTACATCCCCAAAGACCTCAACTACGCTGACTACGTGTTTCTTCGACAAGGACCAGCAAAGCGAGCATTAGATTCTCCATACACAGGCCCTTACAAAGTCATACAAAGAGGCAACAAAACCTTTAAGATCGACATCAGAGGTAAAGAGAATACCATCTCAATAGACAGGCTCAAACCAGCGTATATTACAAAAGATGCCGATTGCAGAAGTCCCAGCCAGCATCCTCCACCCAACGAACCCACACCGGAGAGCCCAGAACCTGCTACTACTAAAAAAAACAACAAGCAGTGGTCGATCAGTACGATTCCCTGATTACTATCGACCGTAGCAAGCAACGGTCTCGGTGGGGGAGTGTGAGGAGACCATATATGGAAATTTCCTACGCCGCGCGCGCGGTCAACAAAGGGCGCGGCGTAGGAAAGAGAGGACATACTCGAAGCAGCGAGAAGGCAAGCGCCGGCGCCGGCCGGCGGCCAACAGTGCCATCACGTCCGCGACGGCGAATGCATGTCTCAGCTTCCTTACGATATAGTTACGCGAGTGCTTATACACAGCTTATTGTTTTTATGTTTTTTATCGCCTTTCCTTTGTTTCTTGCCTCTATTCTAACTTTCTATTTCTCTTGTGCTCACGTCTGTACTTCGCTTGTGCTCTGTTTGAACTTTAAATACATAGTGTGGACTTATTTACGTAGTTGTTATTTGCCACGCCCGCTTACCACACTATAAACTAATTTCTTCTTTCCAGTACCTTACCTCTTGACTAGTTTGAGATAGATCTTTAAAATGAATTGTTTGTCTAATTACTTGTAAAGGAATTTCACATGGCCTTACCTGAGATAATATTTCACGAACTTCGAGCAGGAATGATTGTGGTAGACCACCGTTAAACCCTTCCGAACATCGAACTCCGAACGATGTCAAAGATGCGTTTACCACGGTACAATTATGAACTTGATCTGGTCGGCCTGTGAATATTTAGTTTCTTTAATATAATATTCAAAAAGCCTGTCAGTTTTGGAAATTATTGAATTTATAATATAATAAGTACAATTTTTAGTTTTTACTGTATTGTTATCTATCACATGATAAACTATTTTACTTTAAATATCAACATTCCTCCAGCTCATTTTGCTCATTGCGATATCTTATATCCTTGTAATAAAAACAAGAAAGAAAGGAAATAGATTTATTTACCAAAATAGGACGCACACAACAAAAGAGAAATTTTACAAAAAATAAAAGAAATAAAAAAATAATTATAAATAATACAGTAAAGCAAAAGAAAATAAATACATAATTAACATATAAAACAAATGAAAAAATACTTAAACAAACAAAAAATATTGTACGCCCTATTCCAGTAAATTAGGCCATTATGCTGTGCCGGAAGTCAAGGCCAACACAGCGCTGATTTTCAGTGCTGACCTTGTGTCCAGTGAACAACAAAGACTTTCACTCAGTGAGCTAGTTAGAAGGCGTCTCATTACATTATGTACATTATAACAGCATTTCTTACCGGCCGCTATGATATGGTACACGCAAGGCACGCGCTGCTTCCCGATTCGATTGTGCGCCCAGCACAGCAGAGTTCCGTAGTCCATCTCCGTATGAGGGGTGTAGGTCACGGTGGAACTGGTGCCGGACCTCGACACGTAGCTGTCGCTGACTTCGTTGCTGTTCGCCGTATTGTTGAATGTCCAACGAAACTAGTGGGGTATCCATGCGTTAGGACAGAAACCTGTGACTTTCTTCCACGATGAATATCCATGTGTGCAGAAATTGCCACTTAGTGCCAATATTTACAATAGTTTCAAGTCCAGTCCAATCTAGTTATTCCTCTTTTCTTTTTGAACTAATTGTCAAAAGTTTTACATTCTTTACACGTACAATTTAAGAATGAAAAGTGTTTGCTCTTTGCATGAATTTATTTACAGTGTTTATTTGCGGGGACAGGTAAAAGTGCAATTTTCAGTAATTTATTTATTTATTTTTATTTTAAGACTTCATGCACATAACTCTGTATATAGGCGGACTTAATGCTGACAGCATTTTCTACTAGTCAACCTTAGGGTGGTACCGAGATTTTGAGGTAGGTGCACAAACGTTTAAAACATATATAGTATATTAATTTGTGAAACACTTTTATACAGTCATGTTTAAACTCTTTATGAACAAAGTCTGGCATATAATACAAGTGCTTAGGTGTCGTATTGCACAACCAATATGTGGCAATACAGTGTTAGATAATACGAGATTTTTATTTCATGCTGATTTTCTTCGAAAATTATCTTTTCATTACAACTACTCACGCTGACATCGGCTGGATTGGCGTCCACGTGACAGGTTATATGAGCGCGCTCCTGTTTCGCCACTCCGTGGACTCTTTGCTGAGAGCTACGGCAGGTAGGTGCATCTATTGATGAGGAATCATGTCAACTTAAATCATTAAATCGAAATATGTATGATATATAAATATCGATGAAATCCTTCAATATGGCAAACAACAAAATACTTTCATAACTACATGTAACTATTTTGTTGTTGGGAATATTTAAAGATTTAATCAAGAAAAAGAATTATGCAACAAGCTAAGTATGTACATACACTTCTATTACAGGACATCTTAAACTGTTTATCATTGTTATTCTAAACCTAAATAACTAATAACTTCTAAATTAGATATTAATATACGTACACGTAAATTTTAATTTCAGTTCCGAAAAGAATGATGCAGTATGTGAAATCTGTTTCGTGTCCATATGATACGGTAGTTCATTATAAGTATTTATATAATACGACGATATTCCACCGTTACAGTTATCGTGTACCATTCTAAGCGTTTACATCCGAGTTTCAGTACATAAATGTATTTGTTTTGATTACTATGTAACTGATGGACGTTCCTGTTTTTGTATATTTCAACTTACATAAAACGTTTAAAGTAAACGGCTTGCTCTCTCCGTCACCTTCTGCGTTGAATCCCACACAGGTATAATTGCCCGCGGTTTTCCTTCCGACACCTTGCAGAACGAGCGACTGATTCGTAATAATAATACCGTGCCCGACGTTGTGTACTAGCATTTTTCCCTGTAATTATGTACGAATTTATATACATGGAAACTCAAATGTTGCTTGGGAATAGCTGGTTCCACTGAAATACTCACATTATGCCTCCACTCCACTTTGTAAACGTAAGGATGGGCCTTAATTATACAATCAAAGTACACGTCTGAACCTTCTCTTATATTCTTTGGGTCCAAATTAGTTCCTAATCGGACCGTTGTCTCGGGCACATCTATAAATTTACAAAATAACGATAACGCACTCCTTATAACTTAATGAAATAAATGCTGAAAGCATGAACAAAATATTATATAATGTCGCAGCATATCTAGGCGACAAGCATGATTGTTTATTTATTCTGTGTGATTGTTTACATATAATACAACTTTGCCTTTGATTATAGTTCCTTATTTCCCACAATGCATTAACATTAATATGTATATGTATTTACTATGTACGATAAATACCACATTTAATTTGTAATTGTGACAGAGATGTGCTAATTTAAAAAATAAAAGCTTGTTTTGATGTACGGATTTTATCGGGACCACGTGAAAGTTGAATTCCTGACTTTTGAATACTTTACAGTATCATACATGCACACACACACACATAGTCACAGGATGGGGTAGTTACTGCATTTAGTAATTACTGCAAGTAACTAGTTTATAATTATAAATGAAACTAATTTTACGAATTTATCGCGTTTATTTTTAATTTTAATTCCCGACGTTTCGAACCCTTTACAGCGTTCATGGTCACGGGATAGACTTCTGTTTTTTTTATATATTAATTACATTTATAATGTGTAATCGCGTAAATACAAAAAAATAGTTTACAATTGGTAAAATTTTTAGTAAAAATAAAAATTGGTGGCATGTAATCACAATATGTGTGAACACAATGATTTTTTTATTTATGTGTTACATGAGTGTTTCTTGCGTTCAAGTAAATGATGACAAAGTTATACAATTATATAAAAAAGTAAAGTTCACTAATAACTACACTGGGCGAAAAGTACGCTCGGGTAAACTCGTATTATTAAGTGGGTACTGAAGTATACAAGTGAAATAATATAGTTTGATTAATAATAAGATGTGGAGGAGCTAAAAAGTATGTTTACTTTGTAACACAAAATATTATTTATTAAAGAAATTGTTCACTCTCACATTGTATGTCCAATAACCAGTCGTCTTCCAAGGCGGCTACGGCAGGCATCTGAGGGTTTGAGGCGCGGCAGGCTAATTTGGTACCAGCATCAGCTTTAGTTAATTGCAACGATACCGTAGAAGTTGTTGTGTTTCCATCAGACGACAGCTGGGAAAAATGTTCAATTTACTTTAATTTAAAAATAATACGTAAACGTATACCGCTAAATGTCTGACGTAAAAAAATAACGCAATGTCGACTTGTAAGCATTGCCCAAATGTTTTATAATAAATTAGCTATTATTTATATTATCTACAAATAATAATCGAAGTAAAAAAAATTGATAGTTTTTTGAAGATCATTAAGAGCTTTATAAAAATCTATTTTGAATAAAGAAATTTAAACTTTTACTTTAAAAGATGTTTTTAGTACACACAAATTGTGTTCACAACATTGTTTTAAGTATCTTGTATAAGAAAACAAGCAGTTTCAGTTTATTATTAGTACAAGGAAAATTTTGTATATTCGTTCAGATGTACAACTGCGAGTTTTATAACAATGTCCTTTCAATTAAGTACGTCGTGATACAATCATATAAAAAGGTTGTTGACTTGACTCTTTAGCTGTTTACAATTCAAGTGAAATGAAAAGTCTCTCCACTTACACTAACTGGAAAAACGTATAAAAAAACTTTTTACGTTCTCAATTGATAGAATATGTGGCCCGGCCCCAAAACACCAATTCGAATATAAAGGGATACAAAAATGGAAAGGATTGATGAAATGGTTTTAACGCCGAACTTGTTTCCAGTTCGGCGTTAAAACAAAGAGCGATTAAAATTTACTCTGAAAGGTTTTCGAAATTTTCGTCTCAGCCTCAATTATTGTCCCTGCAGATAGCGTCTATTGTGGCGGTGTTTGTTTTGTTACCCCTGAGTTATAGAACAAAAGATCAAATACTCTATTTGTGTAGATATTAATAATTATTTTCGCCTTTGTATGCACAATATCTTATCATATCGGCTTATGAAATAAATATAATATGCTTATAAAAACAACACAATTGATCACTAGATAGGTCTAGAGGTCAAAATTTATTATTCAATCTCTACACATTTTTCATTTCAGATTAGGAGACAGATAATAACTCAGATTTCCTAACAACGATGACTAAGTACAATATCTTTTGAATCGGCGCATTGAATGCCTTTTCAATTTGAGTAATAACCGTCGTTAAATTGACGTCAAATTACATCAAAGACTGATATCATGATAATAAATTAAACAGGCTCTATCAAAGCTTTCAGGTAAATAATAAATTATACAGCCATTGCTTGAGTCTCTAAAGGTCGAATTATATTGAATAAGGCCGCTTTAATATTAATTTTAACAGGCAATGTTTGCCGATGAACGCTGTAAATTAATTCACGCTTAACAATCTATGTGACACGGTTTAGTAACATTGGAGGTTTTTTATTAAAAGTTGGCAAGTGAGCAGTCACTTGAACTGTTCACTTGAATTTAAGTTCTTGCCATCGCCCATGAGCATACACAATGTGAGTTATTACAGATGCGTTGCCACCTGTCACTAAGATGGGCCCCGATTATCTCACTACTGAAGAGAATATTTTTAAACTTGCGAAATACTTTGATGAACCGTTTGATGCAAATATGGCAAAAATCTAAGAGAACAATTTTGTCGTTACCATTAATTATTTTGATTTTCCGAACTGTATATTTTATCTGTGGATTCGTTAATACTCTTAAAACAATTTATCCATCATGTAATTTGTCTTGTAATCAATTATATAAAAATACGCTTGAATTCGTGAAGTTAACGTTTACGTAAAGTTGACAACTTGGGCGGGTAAACAATGAGGGAATTTCATTGCAATGTTTGTTCCGGGATCGTATTAAGGAGCAGCACTCGAGAATTAGTTCAGAAGAAGTAGTTTTCATCATGAAAAACAAAATGTTATAAAATCAAACTAACTTGCTTTGTATTGTCAGTTTTGCTTTGCGCTCTACCTTTTTTTCATGGCTTCCTAACAATGCTTCCTCATTCTTCGACCTCCTTTCGTCACTGCCGACGACAAACATGATCCCCTGAAACTCCGACCGGGCCTCCCTTACGACCAATTTGAGCACGCCTCCAGCACCGGCTAGTGCCCCATTCAATTTGCATTTATTACTTTTACGTGCCCCTATTTTAACTCGAGTTCGCGACGTTGTTTCTTATGGTAATACTGATTAGGGGAGCTGCGATCAGTTAATGCCGGATGAGTCTCGCCTTTGTTATGCTTTTGATTAAATATTCTTCACTAATGGAGCCTAATTTCATGTATTCCTTGTACCGGTGTGAACATTGTGGTAAACAAATTTATTTTAAAGATTTTCGTATTTTTCGTTATTTTTATTTTCGCATAGTTTAAATGATTTCAAAACCTTCATTGCAACATAGTTGTATTGCAACATTTTTATGAGATAAACGATCTTGTGTTTTGAAGTTGTTGAAGGGTTTACGGATTAACACATAGAAGACTAGTACATCTATGTAGGTTTACCATAATTTTGGATGCTATCTGTTTGCAACTTATTTTTTAATGGTAACTTCATTCTTTTACTTAATCTTTATTATTTGTCCAAATAATTATTAAACATAAACATTATGAATAAATCAATATTATTCTTATAAATGCTTTTTTACGATAAATACTTATTAAGCTTGAAATTCCTTATGATATATTATTTTTCTATTACCGTTTCCTTCGCATTGTTTATCCTGTGACCGTTTTTCCACCAGGTAATGGAGGCTGGTGGCCTAGACCCGGAACTTTGACATAGAAGGTCGTATCTTCTACTCGCTGACAGTGGCTGATTTGAACCGAGTATGTGCACGGTCAGCGGTGGAACTGGGAATTAAAAGTATGTATAAATAAAATAATATGAATTATAATGTATGAATTAAACACACGCAGTTATGTGTATTGTGTAACATATATATTTTTTATTTATTGGCGTAGTTGACAGTGACCCTTTCTCTCACGCCAAAGGGTGTGTGGGTTCGATCCCCACTACTGGAAAAATATTGTGCGGTGAATATATATAGTGTTTTTCTATTGTCTGCATATTTATATATCTATAACATGTATTTATTCATGAAAGAAATTATGTTTAAGCATATTCATCAGTGATCTACTACCGATAGAAGCTTTGTTTAGTTTGGGACTAGATAGAGCTCTGTAAAAATATATCCCAAAATGTATATTAAATATTTATATCATATTCTCTTTTTCCGAGCTGTTTAGAGATACTGATTTTTAGTAATAAAAATCTTGCATCCCTTTTTAAATGAATCAACATTCCTTACAGTCGTTTCATTGAAAATGACTGAAGCAAAAAAAAAGAAACTATCAAGTAAAAAACATTATTAACAAAACTTATTTGTGAATAATTTAAGTTAATTATGAAATTAACGGATGACTAGTAACTACATATTTATCTAGGCATTTTTACTAACAATTCAGGTCCAAACTAAAACATTACTGACATAACATATTTGTGAATAATTTAGGATATTCAAATTGTAATTTTTTTCACAAATAGTTGTCCCGTGTGGGAATCGAACGGACGATCCCCGAGGCCGAAGCCGATTCCTCGGCGACTGCGCCACGGAGTCAGCAAACTTAAATTAGCTGATGACTAGTAATTATGTCACGCACAGTTCATGTCCAAAGTGAGGGTCGTCTCGATGGGGTGCGCCCTCAAGTGGTTGGACGCCCTGCATGTTAGGGCGGCGCGGACATCCGCCCGCGTCAAAGGACCCACGTGGATGACGCCCCGCACCGAATTGCCCTGAAGAGCGGCGGCGGCCGTGTCCACTTCCAACTCGTCGCGGTACCACTTCACCCACGGCCTGGGCCGACCTGTGTAAAGTAAAAGTGGAGTAACAGTCTATACACATCCCACCGCTGAACAAAAGCCTCTCTCTACAGAGGTTATTAAGGCATAGTCCACCACGCTGCCACACGATTGGCGGAATTCACATATCTTCGAAATATATATATTTTTTTGTTATTGTTTTCGAAATTATGAAAGTTTCACACGACCAGCGTGAAGTGGCAGCGCCAGATTACGCAAAAAAACGCCATAGATCCGTAAAAATTAGTTTCACTTCTTGATACCGATCATTTCTATTGTTATTTTTAGGATATTAAATTTTTATTGAAATGCCATATCAAAGAGCTTATCGTCTTTACATTTCAGCCATTGAAAATACCATTGTAAGTACCATGAATAAAAACCCAGTAAATCCATAAAATAATTAAAACCAAGAGCTGTTTTACGTAGTCGTGTATATATCAAGGTGCTCGTATAGAACTTAGCATGGTCAATTTCAATAGCACGATTAATGATATGCCAACATACATATAACCCCTCGTTCGCCTCAATTAAGGTCGAAACGTTACGGCTGGGGTCGTATTAGGGCTGCGGGGTCCGTTACGATGATTTTGAACACCTCCAACGCTGATGGGCAACGTTTTGACACCGGATACTTCATTCGCCGCGCAGCCCTAACCTAATATGATTTAGGGTCGGCAATAAATTTCTCGTATTGCAGCCGTGTCGGGCTTTAATTAATACCTCCCCTCCCCGCATGTCCGGCCACCGTTTAGATAAAAAGCGAGATGAACTTTCCCGGCTCGTTCGCATCGCTGTTGCAAATAAGCTGGATGATGTAAATACGATCGAATATAATATGGTCTAATGCGCCTTTGCGGACACTTTTCTTTTTATTGGAGTTGTAAACTAGCAAGATATTCTCACTTTATGGTAAGTAATAACAAGGGCCAACGAATTTCAGAGAGTAGAGAAAGATAAGTATATTCTATGTTATATAAAAAGTTGCCTTGTGTACTTTTGAGATTCGACACGCTAATGCTCTAATGACACGAGGTGTAACTAAAAAGTATAAAAGTAGCGTGATTTACCGGTAACAGCTGTAATCAATTTTCGTCAATGTTTTCAGAACCATAAGATCTTTTATAATAATATATTGCATTCTTACATCAAATAAGGTACAGTTGGCAAAAAAAGTTATCGTGGTAAAAAAGTAAAAAAAAGTAAAGTATCAGCCTATACATATCCCACTGCTGAGCAAAGGCCTCCTCTGTACAGAGGGTATCAGGGCATAGTGCACGACGCGGCCCCACTGCGGATTGGCGGACTTCACATATCTTCGAAATATTTTTTTGTTGTTATTTCGAAAATATGCAGGATTCCTCACGTTGTTTTCCTTCACCGCTGAGCACGTGATAATTCGGCATTTAAAATTAGCATTTCATTGGTGCCGGTACCGGGGATCGAACTCAGGTTGCTCGAGTATATTGAATTAAAGGCGAGCGCCCGGACACTGAGCTATCACGGCTTGTGTTAAAATTTGTAGAAAAAAAAATCTCTTATGTGCAGATTAGCAATATAAAAAATCAAGTTATCTAGTTCTTCATGCAATAAAATATTGAATTCATACGTACAGTAAACAATAACAATTAACATATCAAGGCCACTAGTCATTAATTTTGGAGAAAGAAGAGGTGATTTTAGTTCAAACTTTTTTAAAGTTAATTGCAAAGAAAATTTAAAATGAAAAGTTTTCTACTTACCTCCGGACACGTCGCACTTTAGAGTGAACGTATCACCCTCGATATAAGGACCCACGATGGCTTGCTTCACATTTCCTCTATCGTCCGTTATCACCATTTTACTGGGCGGCACTGTAAAGAGCAATTTTAATTAAAATCGATTTTCATCAAGTAAGACTACAAAGATACAACTCTCGCAGGGAAGACGACGCATGACTGTGTTTACGGATTTATCGCGTTTATTTTTAGTTTTAATTTTCTACATGTAGAACCCTTCGAGTGATAAATTAAAAATATATTAAATCGGACATACTTACATCCGGATTAATTGTAATCTACATTCATCATGTTTGTTTGTCTTAATATGCGGAAATAATTCCCATGACTCATGGAACCAAGTGTTTCATTCACGTCTGACCAAATTAAAAAAGTATACACTCGTATTGCTGTGTTACTGTAGCGTTAAGACATAATTTAATGCAAAATACCGTAGACCCGTATGTGATGCTATGCTATTAAGCTCTGAGAAATGTTTTCGTTGTTCAACGTCATACGTGAGGCTATTCGACCCTAAGTAGGTTACTATCTGCTTTACTAATGTCCATTTAGTACGCTCTAGGGAAAGACCCTTCCGCTGTAAAGTTGGAACGCTTATATCGATCTGTCCGAAACAGCGAATTTCAAATTTAAAGTTTGTTTTGTTTCTACCTCAGCACGCAATAACTTAAGTAAGAGCTTAATCTAATATGAAATGTTAAATGAAAATCAGTGTGTTATTAGTTTAAGTAACGTAACTCTAAATACGCCAATACCCTAAGAATAAATTTAAATATTAAATAGATAATCTAACAACGGAAAGTTTTATATTAAATAAAAAATATAAACTGTGTTAATTCTTGATATGAAATAAATTTAAGTAAACTATTTTAAAATGAATAATTTACATGTCTTTGGACTTACATATTTCAAGTTCTAATATCACGGTTAACCCGAGTGATCGTCACCTATCATGATCTCCACATAAAACTGTTATTAGCCATAGGTTGAGTCCTTTTTAAATTTGGTGACACATACCTCGATAAAACAGTGTTTCCCAACCTTCTTTGTGCCATGACTTTTTAACCTTTGCCTTTCTATTACCTTTGCCTTAATATTTTAAATATTTAAAAAAAAGTTACTTTTTATTAAAATTTAAATTGGGAATGTAAAGAAAACTGCCGCCGTCTGCCGCAGGGAAATTTACTTGACGACACCAAACACAAAGTTGATATTTTGGTCTCATCAAGCAAAATTATAATATTATAATAATATCTTATAATTATTTAACGCAATTATTTACGAATTTGCTGTTTCCGTTAAATTTGGCACCGAAATCTAGCATTTCGAATTGCCCCCTTAACAACCAAATCCCCCCCCCCCCCCCCCCCCGCCCTCCTCTCGTTGGGAAACGCTGGTCGAAAGACTTGTTTTATCTGTATAATCCACAACGCACAGTACACAAGCGGGAAGGATACGTGTCGTGATTTAGCACATTGGCAACTCACCGCTGTAGCAAGTGCATAACAATAGGTCGGCCTTTGTACAGCATCCAAGAAACAGGCACGTTCTACATAATCTAATATACAATAACCGTGCTACTACTATGGACGTATTCAACACACGCATCTTTCATTGGAAAATGTAGCGAATTATATGTATACGTATTAATTGAATTGTATATAATGTTTATTATCAAAATTTCTGTAATATTCAATACAAAAACATTTTATCTTTTACTACTTCTCACTTGGCTCTTGTGCACCTCCTTATGTTCTCTAATAATTTTAGGTTGACTGGTAGAGAACACCTATTGTGCAAAAAGTTTTTAAATAAATAAATAAACAATAGCTCATTTGATTAGTATTAGGTGTAACTTACTTTTTTTATACATTAAAACAATAGTTTACATAACTATATACATATTTAAAAATACGCAGATACCTAAACAATGTCTATGTAAAACTAGTTGCAGAATTTCGTTCACTGTTTTTTTCTTTTTCAAGTTTCGCCACATCTTAATGAAAAATTCCACATCGGAATCGGAAAAGCATTTTTACGAAAAAATTGTATTCTCTATTAAATGTATAAAATATTACCAAATTTCCGAAAACTAAATACTCGAGGCACAAAAGAACATTTGATATCAATAATATAATTCTAAATTAATAATTTAAATGTCTAATTCTATTGTTATTATTTATAGCCAATAATAAATCCATACTAATATTATACATGCCAAAGTAACTATCTAGCATTCACTGTGACACTGTCTGTCACAGACACAAAAGACACTGTCTGTCTCGCTTTCACTCCAAAACTACTTTTTTTTGTGTGAAAAGTTGCTAAACGAGCAGATGGTTCACCTGATGTTAAGTGAATACCGCCGCCCATAGAAATCTGCTACACCCGAGGGTATGCAGATGCGTTGACAACCTTTTTGGAAATTGGGCTCCGGCTACCTCACTCACCAGACGAAACGCGAAAGTATTTCTCATACTTTCACTTTACGCCGGCCTTCTGTGAGGTCGTGGTACCTATCCGGACAAGGCTGCCCATTCGTGCAACAGCCGAGGCTGCTGCGTGTCTCTACCACCGTTTACTGAAGCGATTTAAATGAAATTTGGTACACAGATAGTCTAGAGCCTGAGAAAGGACATAGGCTATTTTTTTAATTGGAAAAAGTGTTGTAAAAAGCTTCAACGTGAGCGAAGCCGCGGGCGAAAAGCTAGTAATTTATATAAGTAGTTTGTAATAATTGATAACAGTTGTCGGTAATACCTTGGAACCAGGCTAAGTAAGTAATGATTACGATTACTTGATCATTGACTTTACTATAAAATAGACGTAGCCTATAAATACCGGACTTGGTCTCTTCTGTTTAAATATTAATAAATGATAACTCGCTTCAAGATTATGCATCATCGAATGTAATAAATATTTCTTTACAATTTTCTGTACATTTGGTTACAGGAGATGGAATTTTGACGTAACTATTACGGAGACAATGTCAAATACCAATCGCTAGTAACTAAATCTAAAGAGAGATTGAAAATGGCCATAAATGCGACGTTGCAAAAAGTCAATCTATTCCAGAAGCGATAGAGATGGAATGACTTAAGATAAATTAAAGGAGAAAATCAAGGTCGTGACCTAATATCTAAACGTAACGCTGTCTCCATTGCCTGTAGGGTATAAATTTTAAACTTCAATCGTGTACTTTAGTACCTTTTTTATAATCTTCGGTAAAAAAAAACAATAAACGTAACGAAGAAAGTAAATCTATCTATTTCATATCACAATAAATAAAAAATGCAAAACAAGTGTAACAAAAGTAATAAAAAATACCAAATCGTGTGTTGTAAAAAACATGGACCCCATTTCAACAAATTAATTCAGTACTGAAGTGAAGCAATGGTGCTGAGGGTAAGCTTACTCGTATTTTAACTATTTTTACTTGACAGTGCTAAAACCAAACAAGAAGGTCTGTGATATACTAGCTGATCCGGCAAACGTTGTTTTGTGGAATTCCGTAAAATCCGTTGTTAGCTGACCTCTACTCGGCGAAAGGAATATTTCTACCAAATGTCAACTCTCTACGCTTTATGGTTCCAGAGATATCGTGATGAGTCAATTATCTGTGGAAATCTCATATATATATATATATATATATATATATATATGTGTGTATCTAGATTTAACAAAGGAAGGTTAAACATAGTATAAACCTTCTCGTAGAAGCAACTGTATCTGCAACTACTAAAGGTCGGAACCAAATAGTAATGAGGAATAAAATAATAAGAAGTTAGTTTTGTCTTATTAAAACTAAGTATCGCCTTTGTACATGTTTTTGTCATTTGTTCCGATTGTCTGTATTATAATTGTGTACAATAAAGTAAAAAAAAAAAGTATTGGACATAATTGTATTAAAATTGAATTTATGACAAAATCGTTTTGCATGCTTTCAATATTTTTTTTGGTGTCATGAACGGTTTTTTGTCATTTCTATTATTCCCATTATGAAAATTTGCAGGAAAGTAGACTTAATTATGCATCCATAGTCTGTAAGCTTTCAACGTTCGTGAATTTTTTCGATCCCAACTTTTAAAGCAAATTGGATTCGTATTGGGACTTTATCAAATTGTAATCTTTTCAATCCTATCGGACCTTTTTGTTAATATGATACCACCCTGCCCTGCCTTTGTAACTCCAAATCGGTGATTCTGTATTAAAGGGGACATTTTAAAAATTGGAAACCGTCTGTAATCGAATGAAATTTTAAATAAAGAGAGTGAAATAGGCTCTCTTACAGGAAGACAAAGCGAGACGCAAATTGAAATTCATTCGTTTTTCAATATATCCGTTATATAGAAATTTATAGTTCTATGAACAATTAAATGAGCTCATCGAGTTTCAAACTCATAGGCGGACAGGAGATAGGAGACCATACGCATAAAAATTTTGTCGTATCTTAAGACTAAATTTCACTGTCCATTCAATTTCATCCATATTTCAATTTCATCCAAAACATATGGGATTCAATCGCCAATACATCTCCAGCTAGTAACTAGGTCATGATTGCCGTTTAAATTGTAATACCACATTTACTTACCGATTACTGTCAAATTCACTCTAGAGTTCCTCGTCTGGGCTTGCTTGAAATCGACTCTGCACCGGTATATCCCTTGGTCCGACGCTCTGACGCGGTCCACGCCCAGCTCGGCGGGCCTGCGTTCCGGCAGGAAGTACGCTCTGGACGCGAAAACGCTTTCGTCTGACCAACGCTCGGCGACTCCGAAATCACGTTCACGTGCATCCACACTGACGGAAGGAGTTTCTGTTAATTTACGTAGCTCTATATCAAGGGATGAAGCCGCATTTCACTTAAGTAACATACCACCTAACGAAATACGACCCATGAAACGAACGTCCTCATTAATTACAATAGCTTGAACATTTTTAAATGTGATTAGTTTTTTTTTATATGGAAATGTGGCAAAAGAGCAGGCGGTTCACGTGGTGTTAAGTGATAACAGCCACCCATTGACTTTTGCAACACCCGTTGGGTTGCAGATGCGATGCTACCTTATAATGAAAGGTCTCGGCTACCTCACTCAACAGACACAACGCATAAACATAATACGTCCACTTCACGCCGGTGTTCTGTGAGATCATGGTATCCCCGGACGGACCTGCCCATTCGTGCATCTTTTGCGTTCTATTATAGTTTATATTATAGTTCTATATATAGTTTATATTATAGTTTATATTATTGTCTATTATAGTTTTTACGCATTCGAATGCACTTTTTAATAGGTTAATATTAAGACACAGAAATAACACAAACAGTGCAACGGATGTCCACCAGTTAATTATAAGGTTGATAATTTTTTTTTTTATGTGCGAAAGTGGCAAACGAGCTGGCGGTTCACCTGATGTTAAGTGATAACCGCCACCCATGGACATTTGCAACACCCGTAGTGTTGCAGATGCGTTGCCATCTTTTAATAAAGTGGGCCCCGGATAACTGACACACCAGACGAAACGCAGAAGTATTACACTTCCACTTTACGCCGGTCTTCTGTAAGGTCGAGGTACTTACCCGGACGGGCCTGCCCATTCGTGCAACAGCGTGGTAATAACAGCTATTGCGTGGTCTTACCACAGTTAAAGAGTTAGCAGTACCAAACATGGGTTGTTCCAAATATTCCTACCTATATATAGGGGTTCCAAGATCCTCTCTGTACCATAGCACCAGTAGCACCGCATCCTCTTCATCATGAGTGGCGATGTCGCATGGAAGATAGACCGGTTCACCCGCGACAGCGACCAGTTGTGTCATCGGCACTAAGAACGAAGATGCAAGGTTATCATTTCACGTCATAAGAAAGAAATATTCAAGAATTGCGGACGGGGACATTTTAAAACCCGCCGATCTGCGTTACCTAATTATTCTAGTGATAATTACGGACGGGCAAACGAGTATTTTAACATTCGCCTATCTGCGTTACGTAATTATTCTAGTGTTCATTTGTGTCATTCGTCAATGGAACTGTACATTTGTATGTGTGCCTGATGACGAAACCATCAAACTACTTTGTTGATTGTACTATGTAGAGTAACTATTATTATTTAAAAACCTTTCGTATGGTGTGCATCTGATCTTACCCATACTATAAAAGTTTATTGTATATTTTATACCTGATTACATATCCTGCACCGAAAAATACATATTGTATAGACAATACCATTGAAGCCTACATCAAGAGCCATGTTAGCTCATTGTCTGGGCGATCGCTTTTAGTTCATTATACTCGAGCAACCTGAGTTCGATCCCCGGTGCCGGCACCAATGAAATTGTTATTTTTATGACTTATCACGTGCTCAGCGGTGAAGGAAAACACCGTGAGAAAACCTGCATATTTTTTAAATAATAGCAATAAAATATCAATGAGTATTGTATATTGGACTGACAGTTTACGTTTATATCAAACACTAGCTGACTCGGCAAACGTTGTTTTGTCATATAAATTATTTCTAGTGGAATCGGAACGCACGCATAAAGTGTTTGACAGGTTACACAGACTTAGTTGACAGGTTGACAGGTTCAGTTTGTATGGGAAAATAAAATTGTAGCTATTTAGATTTTCCATACAATTTTTCCATAATTTCTCATCGTTTAAACCTTCCCTGGACTGTCACTAATATTTCAAGACCAAAATTCGGTCCAGCCGTTCTCGAGTTTTAGCGAGACTAATGAAAAGCAATCCATTTTTATATATAAGAAGATTTAGAAAATCGTACATTCAAATACCTTTAAAATTATAACTGCATTACTCACAATGAATGGCCCGCATTATTAATGAATTTCGCGGAGCCACAAACAGCGCCCTCTCTTAGTAAAGTGTTCGTACTGTTAGTTTTTTATTTACAAGTGTTGTGGAGTGCTGCGTCAAGGAGTCGTCATCACAATACGACTGCGAAATTATCCCTGGCTTTAGAATTTAGGCCATATAACGCATAGTCTTTATAACTTAAGTACGTTACTATTATTCGATTATATAGATGCGAAACGCATCTTTGTTATACATTTTTGTAGAGTATACATAAAAATTACTTGTATATTTTGTTAGCAGACTATATTTTCTCTTAATTTCGATATTGAGTTTTTGTGTATCTTTGCTCGTTATTTACAGAAAATGTTATGTAAATGTATTGCAACTATCTTATCCTTTAAACGAGCAATTCTTGTATATATATTCTCCTTGGCGTCGGGGGTCGTGTGTTCGATTCCCACACGGGACAAGTATTTGTGCGACCCTCAGATAGTTGTTTCGCATCTGGGTGTTTGTCCACGAGAAATTTATTTTTGTGAGACGTCTTTACAACACAGGATAATGTTATCCTAAAGTTAGGGAAATGTTAAAAGAACTAAAAGGGAAAGAAAAGTTTTATGAGCTTCTTGGTTTGCAAATTTATTAAAAAAGTTGGTACTCAAAAGTGCGGTGCTACTGCATAGAAAATCCAGCGCCGTCCTTTATATCAAATTTTGATTTTTCTATGAGGCGATTCTGAATCGGAACTGACCAACGTGGATGCACGGCTCTATATCCTTACATAAACTACAAGAAATTTGCAGAATTACGTTAGAAATAAGACCGAGGAAATAGAACCAAGGAAATGGCGGTCAGCCCCCAAGATTACGAGTTACCATTCGGATATGAGATAGACACACTTTAAGCGCTTTAATTATGTACGTCAAGTTTATGCAGAAGTTGTCCCAGCGTAATTAAATGAGCTAACTAAATAGGCGGGCGCTTGTGTTTGTCTTGTTTATTACTGTATAACGTTGATTTGCATTCCTTTGAACAAACAACTGTTACGTGTGGCTCGAACTTGAATAATTCCGCGATGAATATTTTGTCTCGTGTCACATCGAAATGGAATTTGAGCTCCATTTCGGTGAACGTGTTACCGTGACGTCGGTAATATTATGTAACTGAATATTTTATACTTGTAGAGTTAATTGGATAATGCCAAGAGATAATGTTTTATTTTATTTTATACAGAAAGGTATGGTAACAGGTAAACAACTAAAAAATATACTACAGAGAAGTAATTTAGAGAACACATAAATACACAAATATGTAACCCACTTATGACTAAACACAACATTCACCAAAAAATAAATTAAAGTAAAAGTAACAGCCTATACATGTCCCACTGCTGGGCAAAGGCCTCCTCTATACAGAGAGTATCATCATATGACGTCGGAGAGAAGCTTTAAAGCTGGACAGACTACAGTTGAATATGATTGTCTTGGTGAGAACAGACTCTATTATACAATTTATATATACTACTATCCTGTACACGCGACTTAAATTAGATAACTTAGAAATTTAAAAAAATTGAGTGAACCGAATTATGAATCTAAATCATTCTCCAATCGACCTGAAGACACACAAAAAAATTCATTATAAATGCATATGAAAAACACAACCTTTTTCAATTCATCATCATCATCATCATTTCAGCCTGTTTGAGTCCACTGCTGAACACTGAACATAGGCCTCCCCCACAGACTGCCATGAAGCACGATCCTGAGCCACCTGCATCCATCGACTTCCCGCACATTTGCACAGGTCGTGCGATGGCCAGTACGAGGCTGCCACTCGAGAACCTTTCTTCCCCAACGGTTATCGGTTCTACGAGCTATATGGCCGGCCCATCGCCACTTCAGCTTGCTAATCCTCTGAGCTATGTCGGTTACCTTGGTTCTACTTTTTCAATTATTCAGAGATAATCCACCTTTCCATTTGAGAACAAAATGAATTTATTCTTTAAATGTAAATTAGATTAGTCTTCTTGAAGAGCCGTCCTTTCGTTGGTTAAAGTGTTTTTTACTTTTTAAAGCAACTTAAAATAATATCGTATTATCGATTGAACACCGTGTTAGCTGTGTACAAATGGCTTCGAAGTTTAGGTTAATATATGCGTTCGTTACGTTCGCCTTAGTTGGATAGAGATCAAAGGGCTCAAAAGGAAACGTAAATCACCCAGTGTGTTTTCATGGTTTATATATACAGAGTGTCTTTACAATCGCGACAGTAAATGAACACACGTCTAACGGTACTTGCCAATAATCATAAAAAATATTAACGTTAAAAATCCATGATTTATTGTCGCGATTGTAAAGACACGCTGTATATACGTGTGTTTATGTGTGTGCGTTACGTGTGTGTATATCTATCGCTATTGCTGCACAACACAGTGTAATTCATAAAATTTTTATAAACAATAAACTTGAGATCTTCATGTGAGTCAAGCATTTGACTTGAGGTTGTCTGTCTTGTAACAGTGTGCTCAACGATTACGGCGACATGGACCGTTGATTTGGCTCCTATTCTGAATAAATAATTCGAATGAATAGTGGACAAGAGATGATATATGTTGAATTTTTAACAAATCTTTTTCACAACAGGATACATTTCCTAAATCAGTATAGAAAATAAAACAATTTCCCAGTGTCTGTCTATCCATTCGAATACAAGGTGTCTTAGGAAGAGTGAATAGGCTCCATCCAACTTGGGCTAGTGTCCAATGCCATCATTGTATTTACTATCTGGCGAAATAGAAGGCAAGCAATGGGTCTTATATAAAACAGTACCTATAAGTTTGATGGAAATACTCTTCATAGGCTATTTTAAGTATTGCGGTATTTTTTGAGAGTGGTCAAAAATGATTTTTATATCACCTTTTTACGATATAGGCTTTGATATTCTGAATACTCATGCTCTTGGCGAAGAAACAAATCTGCAAATTTTTACATATATATTGCAATAGAACTTTTTTGCACCGATTCTGATTATAATTATGTAAGGAACGCACGTCCGCTAGTCTCAAAATACAATTTATTCTAAAAACTGAAAACAAGTGATATTTTTGTTGATTTTTTTTTAGGTTTTATTAGGCTAATTATGGTACTCGTATAAACATATGCGTGGAAGGAGCGAGGAAAAGATAAGGATAATAATTTACACACATTAATTGAACTTTTTTATACATTTATAATGAAGTAATGAAATATAGTATGTAAATGTCATCATCAAAGGGTCAATAACCATTATATTAATATAGGTATAATACTTTAATAAGTACCTATTTGTATTAATACAAACTCAAACGTAATGAACGCTATTAATGCGGAACAGACAGAAATTGAGAAACATCAACTTCTAAATGTCCTTCCCCGCAGATGAAGGGAATTACGAAAATTGAAAACCAATTTTTTTTAATTATCCTTTAACTGTACGACGTCTGCTATTTCTTCTTTGTCTCCATTTATATTGCCCGAAGCAATTTAATTCTTGCGGACATAAAAAATTTAAAGGTACTTTAGTCAAAAGTACTCCGTTTACAACGTCTCTTACCTTTGAAATTGTGTTTTTCTTTCTTTTGTTTGGAAATATTTGAACCAGCTTTACTTTTACTAAATGCATTCTATTATATCATACTACAAAACATTGACTTAAATCTTTTCGTCACCGCTGATGCGATTCTGTACAGTTCCTGAGCTTGCTTCACAATGATCTAAGTGCCCCTTATTTAATAGGCATCAAAGAATTATTATTATTCTATGAAATTGTGTAACAAACCCATTATTGGTAAAAATATCACTTAGATCGCTCTGATTCTAGCGTTGTCAGTTTACCCGTGTATGTATATGACAAATATCCTTTTGTTCACTTAGTATTCCAGGCTTCTCGTTCTCAACCTTAATTAATAACATGTTCATGCCATCTCCAGGATAGCGGTTCATTCTTCATTATTCTGACTAAGCAT